TGTATTTTCTAAGCAAGTTTCAATCCGGAATACACGAACTTGTTATGTGCGAATGTGTGTTTATGTTTATGATTAATTTACTAACAATTATGAGGTTCTGAGAATGCCCTTAGATGCTTGTTACAATGTAAGTTCAAATACCAAAAACAGAAAAACATAAGGGAAACTAAAACTAATACTGAAAGCTGCTTGTAGTCTTACATACATTCATACATAATATAAATATCGTTTAAGAAATACAAATGCGCAATTATGCAACAGCTTAAATTTACTTAAAGCTCCTTTGTAGACCTCCAAAGGTTCCAGTGAATTACTTAGCTTTTACGCTCATTGCAAAGTAATGAATTTAMAATTTTCACTTGTGAGGTCTTTCGTTTCATTAGCCGCATTTCGTTGTCTTATAAATTGTTACTGAAAAGAAAATAAGAAAAAAGTTCCCATTTCACTAACTTTATCTAATTTCATCACTGCCATTTATAATATACAAATACATTCGTTTAGGATGCACAATTAACTCTTGTAAGGCGCACAATTTTATTTGTTTGCCGTAACAGGTAATCTTCTGTGCCTTGTGAAGAATTCATAGAGATTGCTCCAATAGCATGAATTTAACAAAATTTATATATTTGTATAATGGCGTTTTCCCGTGCTTGCTGTTGGAGTAGTTTCTACAAACCAATGTGTGTTTTCAACCGGATTCGACGTCTGTTTTGCTTCCCTTTTATTATTGTTGTCAGCTTGTTTGCACAAAACGTTTTGTTTATTATTCAACTTTTAGCTTTATTTCACTTTTTGTTTGATCTAATTGGAAATCTATCACGAGGAAAAAGTTGAAAAAAATGTACATATATAAAATTAAAAAATAATAGTAATAATAATACTAATAATAAAAAATTAGCAATAAGATAATCCTGTCGGGATTCTATAATATAACATGTCTACCCTTTCCCACTTTTATTAATTGTATCTTTGGTAATGAATAACGTTGTAAAATATTAAAATAGTGTGTAAATTATCTACATATGATATATACAAACATACATATATACATATATGCATACATATAAATTATTAGTAATATTAAGCGTTGATGTAACTAATTATTTACGAGATAATAGTAGTAGTGTCTATTAAATAAAATACACATAAATAAGTATGTTAAATTAATGTACAGTTATTGATAAAATTAGTTTTTATTATAGTGTTAGAACAAATGAAAATCATTAAATGCAAAGCACCCAAAGTTGCGTTTGTCAAATAAATACAAAAAAGTTAAAAAAAAAAAATGAATTAAATGAAATAAAAAGGATACTGTAATATCTAGTAGTAATGAATGAACCGAGCTGGAGAAGCGAAAACGAGTTAATAAAGTTAGTGTATAATATTAAAAGCAGAATATGTATATTTATACATATACATATACATATATATGAATATTAGAATGGAAGTGCGTAAGTGAAAAAATTGTGCACTCGCCCTATTGCATAAAAAAAAGATAAATATACAAATATAATATATAAATTATATACATACTTGCATAAATAATTTAAAAAATACAAACTAAATAAGTTTCAATATTATCAATACATACATACGTTTTAAGTTGTAACATGAAAAGAGTTTCTCTTTTTAATTTTATAAACAAAGAAACTACAAGAGCAAATACAATAATAAATTTTCTGTTATTTTTTTCTTACAACAAATTAAATGAACAGTTKATTTTTTGATTTTGACTAGACACCAGTATCCACTTTTGAAAATATTATACTTTTACGGCGGCGTAGTGCTCTTTTACAGCTTTCTTCGGAATGGCTGATTTTATTTAGATTTCTCAATCCTTCTTCATTCGCATAGCAAAATGTCAATTTCTTGTTTATCACCCACTTGTAATTTTCTTAGCTGAAAACAAAAGAAGTTCTGAACGTTTTCGTTTTTATTAAAGAGTTTCGCAGCGATTTGAGACTTGCTTTTGTTTATTGCATCTAGAAGGTTGCGTTATCTGTCTGTCATTCCTTTGCAGCTGGTCACGTCAGGAGCGGAAGGGCGGGCAAAATTCAGTTGCACAAACTCCATTGCAAAAACCCGAAAACAAAAATAGATTATGCATTCGACAAATGTCTGATGTATACCAACGTCGGATGATTGCATTCKCATAAACAAGACTAGGATTCCTAAGCAGTAGTGCAGGCGGCATGTGTATGTATGGGAGTTGAATAATAAACGTAATAGCAAAATAAATCTAAAAATGATTGTATTATAATAGTTATGACCAATGCGAAAGAGAAATATTCCCTACTCATTAAATGAAGAAAAAATAGCAAAATTTCAGACTATAAGTGTAATTGTTAAAAAGTTTAGAAACATATATAGAAAATACTTGAAAAGTGAAAAATACTTACGAATATAATCACCAACCAACCACTTAACTGGTTCTGGTTTGGAACTGGAAGTATCTGAAGTCAATGAACCAGCACATAGATATACATACATACATACATGAAAACAAAAATACAAAAATACAAAAAGATATAGACATATGTAAATAAGGCTCGCTGAGTTCCATCGTCTTTAAAGTCGTTAAATCCTAAACCATACAGACATACATAGAATTTATATAATTTCGAATCGATTTTCAATGCTGCAAAGAGATATACTATATATACAACATATGCGTATGTATGTACATGAATAAATGTATGCACTTCTGTGGATATGATCTACTACAAGTTGTAAATTATATAAAAAATTTATTAAACACCTTAAAGATTATACAAACATCCACACAAACACACACATACACTATGTATAGAGGTATTAGTAAATAGGAGTTCTAAAATCTTAAATGAAGAAAATTTAATAAACCAATGCGTAAGAAAAATTGAGAAATTTAAAAGATAATTTCAAAGAACGTAGGTGTTTTGTGTGTGATGAGGAAAGATGTAAATATTATTTATAATTGTATGGATATATATTATAATTAAATTGACGTAAAATTTAATTGAAATAAATGAAAAGAATATTAAACATTAAATAACGGCATTCTTAGCTTCGTATTGTTAGGGTCTTGTTGTTGTTGTTTATGTTTGTGTTGGGACTGCATACAAGAGATTCTTTTACTTTCACTGGGCGAGCACCTTGTGGCCAGTTCACTACTTCGTGTTCTCCGTTCTATCGAGCTTGGTATACGAATTTCGGATATACAACTTTTATTAACCCTCAGCAGAGAACACCATAATGATTATTTTATGGTTTGTAAAATAAAATCTTTTTGCGTATAAATTTGCAGTTTTTATTCGGGTGCAATAGGAAACGGGGAAGGAGGCCTTAAATACGATATAAATAAGAAATAAATTATTTACATCCTCTGGTTTCGGCTCTAAAAGGATGTTATTTCGCAGCAAAGACACAAACCTGCAAAATAACCCACTATTTGGATAATCACGAAACTAGGGARTTTCAGTGCAAACCGGAAACGTAGCCATATTGTGTTTTCTGTTGTGTATGCGAATGTATGTACGTGTGTGTGTATTTGCCTTGATTTAAAGTCATTGCTTTAATGTTTTTCTAAATATAAACTAATTTAAACCATTTTTTATATTGGCAAAAAGTGGTCGACTAAAATGCTCCTCATTTGTTAATTTATTTATTATTGTAAAAAAAAAAAATTAGTTGAAGTTTTATTTGAAGAAGATTAGAAGACTTTTTCGACTACCCAATATTAGTTGAATTTAAATAAAACAGAAAATTAGTACCATGGTTGATTCTATTTTATTGCCCGTAACTGTAAATATACGCTTAATATACATATGTATGTTTGTACATGAATGTGTATACATACGTATTTATATACATATATAGTACCATGAGCACACAAACTAGTAAGTTCACCAAGTTTTCAATCCAAACTCATGACACTTTTAATTGGCGATGTGTAAAAATACAATTAATTATAAATGAACTGCTTCCAGAACAAATTCGTATTTAGTCAGCACACACAAACATATGTACGTGTACACGGCTAACTGTATTGCAATTTGGAATACTTAAGCGCCACTCTTTTATATTATAATTCGTTCATTTAGCCACCGACAAGAGCTTTCTTTGATAGCTCGAGTTAGAGAAACGCATGCAGAGAGTGTTATGGCTGCGTAAGAAACAAAATTCCTGGTTTTTAGGTTAGGGCACTCTTCTGGATCAAACCGAACTTTATCGCACATAACCCTGCACTACATCGAGTCAATTCAAAACCGATGCAGAACTATCTTCTAAATAGCCGGGACTGGTTTTCGGTTTCTGTTTTTTTTTTTAACATGATGATGTCTTCGGAATTGCTAAAAGTGAGAGAAACAGATATCGTCTGTCTAATGTCGCTAACACCCTATTTGTTAATTCATAACCTTAAAATCAATATATAGGGAATTTGGATGGAGATTTAACCATTTTTACTACCCTCTCATCGAAATAGTCGCATCGTTGCTCGTAACACTGAAAATATTGGGTAGTCGAAAAAGTCTTTTTGTAATTCTAATAAAATGTTATATTTATAATAATAAATAAATAAAGAAATATGTACCATTTGGTCGACCATTATTCCATCAGTGTAAGAGTTTCGTAGGTGGAAATCGAAATTCCGAAATACCCTGCAACGACGGCTATTGACAAAATACATAAAGACTTTTCCGACTACCCAATATATATACATATGTATATATGTATGTGAGCGTTTTTGGATAATGCAATCCTATTCAGATACATGTTATAATATTATTCGTAAGATAAACGGCAATGTTCTGGCCCAGTGTTTTCTAGTCGAGGGAAGACTTCGCATTCCATGAATCACGACGACGATTGGAATAGTCTTCTTATCGCTTAGCATCTTATCCGTAGATATCAGGCGCACGATTATGTACACACGTTTTGTAAACATAAACAAACAATGAGGAGCTTCTGACATTCATTACTGTTAGCTACTACTGGCTATTGGCGAAATCTTGGTTGGCATTGCGACATCACTTGTCGGCGACAGCAAGTAAGAAGTGAAAAAGCAAAACCATACTCGCTCATAATTAAGGCAATTGTGGCAATTGTGTTCCGATGACAAAACACTACAAACTCATTTGAGTTTTTCAATTATAAAATCGGACGGACTGTTAAACRACATTACCAGCGCAAAGGAAGCAGATGAGAAACGTGAGCGCTTTGGGACGGTTGTACGAGCAAACTATTATACGGCTTACATTCCAGTAGCATAAGCTTTGATAGCGGGGTGGGGTGAAGAGCAAAAATCATACGCAGATGTGTCTACCAAAGAATTTGAATGGTTCCACGATCCAGAAAATCGCAACAACTGTCGGTAATATGGATGAGGGACTTTGAAAGACAACTATTTTATTAAARGAATGTTTCGTTTTGTGCACTTTTAGGTAATATACTATGCTTGAACTTTGGCATCATGCTCGGCATTACGCCAGCGCATATTAGACTCTACATGGACAAAAAGACCCCCTTGAACCGCGTCGCCGACGATGTTGAAGCAACTTGGATCAACAGTAGTATTTTTGCCAGCGCTGCTTTGAGCTCAATCGTATGCGGTTTCATTGTAGGAAAAATTGGACCCAAAGCGGTGCTTCTCGTCAGCGGTCTTCTGCAAATCGTAAGCTACCATTTTTCATTGCTGCCTTCCCAAACATTAACTCAAACTGCCCACAACATTCCTCATTTTTTCATATTAGTCCAGTTGGTTTTGTATGCATTTCGCATTCGACRTCTTACACATCTATTCGTCCCACATTATGGCTGGAACGGCTGCTGGCGCCGCCCTCATAGCTTTACCTATATTCATAGCGGAGATATCTGAGGAGACCAATAGCGGCGCCCTGATTGTAACTATCGAGCAGTGGCGTACATTGGGTACACTTATCGGTTTTCTGCTTGGCCAACACTTGCAATACGATTATGTGGCGGTGGTGGCGGTGTGTATCTCCTGCGTCTTTACCATGATGTTCCCGTTTAGTCAGGAGAGCCCGTACTTTTACATGCGGAAGGGTGATGTGACCAGGCTGGAGAAGTCTTTGCGCTGGTTTCGGGGTGTGCGTAGTATAGACGAGCGCAACCGACCTGAGTTTTTACGCGAATTGGAAGATTTCAAGAGCAACATGGACAATCAGTTTATAGCAGAAGAGCTGGTGCCTCGTGCGTATTTGTGTAAGGCCACGCTCTGTACCCTGTTCTTGTTTGTGGGTGTGCATTTGAGTGGTATCTACGTGATATTAGCCAGGTCGAACCTGATATTTATAGATGACGTCTTCGTYCAGTTTCCCACGGACGTAAGTGTKTTGATTTTCGCCCTCGTACAATTTGTGGCAGCTACAATGAGTGTYTGGCTCGCCCCAATAGCTAGGAGAAGGGTAAGTCTTTCGTTAATAATGATGGGAATCTGAGAGCTCATGGGCTTTCGTTTCAGATTCTCTTATTTATTTCGGCACTGATCTGTGGCTTTGCGTCGATTAGCTTGGCGGTTTGCATGACGTTAGAAGTGAACGGTCAATTGCGATGGGTYGCCTCCGTGTTATTGCTGCTACATGTGTTTTTTGCTAACTTGGGCTTGTACCCGTTAATTTTTCTAATTCCTCGTGAAATGCTGGCCACGAAGGTTTGTAAAAARGCAGAGGTTTGATGGAACAAGGTTTCTGCATGGCCTTTTTCAATTCATTTGTTTTAAAATTAGGTTTCGCCAGTGGTTAGGTTTCTGTTCATCATTTATTTTTCCTTTGCAGTTGCGCGTTACCTTAACGAGTCTTTCCTGGGGCCTCTCATGGCTAATGACTTTTATTTTGATACAGGTTAGTACAACAGTTGTTGTGTTGTGAACGGTTACACTGGTTACATTGTGATGAGTTTCAATTTATTGTATCCATTCGAAAAGTATTTTCAGTCTTTTGAATCGACAATTGGACTCTATGGATATTTCATCATCTTTGGTGTTGGYTGTGTCAGCGTTGCGCTCTTGGCTCTATTCGCGCTTCCGGAGACGCTGGGAAAATCMCTCGAAGAGGTGCAAAATAGGTGGGGGCTCGAAAGTCAGACAGGGATTTCGAAAAGCAATGTGCCACAGCGCGGGCATATCCATTTAGAGCGTTACTAAGGTACTTATACGAATCTTGAGCCAAGAAAGGTATGTGTGCATACCATATATTTTTTAACGAAAATTTTGTGTAATCTAATTATATGTAATAGTTYATTAAATACATAAAAACAAGTTCAAATTAGTTTTATTCGGTTGATTTGGAAGGAGGGGGTTGCCAGTAAAGCGAACCATTTTATTCYATAAACTTATATTTAACTATATTGTTTATTCCTTCAATCCCACGACTGTTTGGTTTACTTGCTGTATAGTCGTTGTGGCCAATTCCTAACACTAAAAWAATATTCTGACAACTCGCGTGACTGGCTTACAAAAGGCCAAATTCGCATCAAACTTCCATGCTTTGCATGCAAGCATGTATGTACATATGTATGCACGGAGCAGATGTCAAATGGTGTTTAATATGTATGTGTACATATGTATAAGCTTTTACACCTTTCTGTGGTAGTATAACTGTAATGCGATATCTGTAAGCAGAATATTCCATCAAACATGGCACCGAGGTAATCTCAATGAAAGATGAGGAAAAAAGTCTGAAGGAGAGCGAAGGCAAAGTYGTATGTGAATCAGCCATTATTTTCGATTGTTATTTTTCAAACCCTCAAGCAACGAAAGCGAAAATGATAACAACAACCAAGCTATAGCTACTTAATTTCAGCATTATGGGATTGTAAATTAGTTTGTAACTTCATAGAGAGCATCYGTCAACGTTTCGCCGTCTCAATGTTTGTGGTCGATCCGATCGCGTCATAAGTATTTAAATCGTTTATATTTCGGTTAGATATTACGGTAATTAACGAGGATTTCACCCTGTCGTAGGAAGTTGTTAGCTGCTCCTTTAGAGTATTATACAGGGTGGGCCATGTAACGTTTTAAATTTGAATTATCTATATTTCGACATTGGAAACGTCAAATGCCAATCGGAAAGTGACAGATATTCAGTAAAAAGTCTAAAATTTACGAAATGGGTCGCTATTCACTGGAAGAAAACTGGGAAATATTGAAAACTTTTTTCCAAAGAGCGTTTGACCGAGGATGATCAATTTTACCGAAAAATTATCTTTTCGGACGAGGCTCATTTCCACCTCGRTGGTTACGTTAATCGTCGAGAAGCCAATGCACCCAGCACGAATCACTGTATGGTGYGGATTTTGATCTGGTGGAATCATCGGCCCATTTTTCTTCGAAAAGAAGAAGAAGGAACCGCCGTAACCATCAATGGTGAGCGATATCGCGCAATGTTAACCGAATTTTTCTTCAAACAAATTGAARAGGAAGACTTGGACAACATTTAGTTCCAGCAGGACGGCGCTACGTGCCATACACCAAACGCTACACTCAATCTTTTACGCCCTATCTTCGAAAATCGCATAATCAGCAATACAGGTGACGTGAATTGACCTCCCAGATGCTGCGATTTAATACCGTTGAACTATTTTCTGTGGGGAGCTGGTAAAGATAAATGTTACGCCAACCATCCAGAAACAATTCAGGATCTAAAGTACGASATTCAAGCTGCTTAAGCTGCCATAAGGACCGAAACCATCGAGAAAGTACACCAAAATTGAATCGGATAAGGTACTATAAACTCAGCCGTGGTGGTCGTTTGTCCGAAATTGTTTTCCACAAATAAATTTCATAAAACAACCTTTTAAATAAATGTTAGACCTTTGAAAAATWTCAAGCCGTTTTTTTTATTGACTTTTTAAATTTAAAATTTTATATGGCCCACCCTGTATCATTCGTGAGGGCTTTAGAAAACGTCTAATTTTGCACAGGTTGCGATAAGAGCGATATCACAGGTGTATGGGTATACAAGTGTATTGCTGCGCGCTTAAGTGCATAGGCAAACATGTACAGCAACTTTTATTCTTGGTTAATCCTTTGCACATCACCGACTTCAAAAGATCATAGCTGGTCTGAAAATAAGACCGTAAAACGACGCTACATTCAAAGACAGCGCCTCACAGTTAGCTGACAGCTCGCCGAGTGCAGATGGCAATACATTAGAAATAGAAAAGCAAATTTCGCAAAACGCACAGCAAGAATAAGTACTCGTAAGCTGATCGAAACCGAGCAATGAGACAAGCTTTTAGCTGGGCGCTGAAATTTAAAATTCCGTTCAAATACTTAACGAGTTGTGGATTGAAGTTGAAAGTAGTGGAAAATTTGTGTATTTTGCTTCGATCTTTTTGGGCAAGTGAATGTGCGTTTGTCAGTTCAAGTTGGTGAGAAGAAAGTTACTCAGCGCCGAAGATGACGGACGGAAATCAATCGAAATACCAGTACTTGGTTGGAATATGTGGTATGTATGGAGCGTTTGTATTGTTGTTGCTCCTTCGACAAATGTCACAAAATCAATTTTATTTGGCTTTATTCCTTCTCTCCGGCATAATTTTTATATTTATTTATACATATTTGTCTTGCGTTTTGATATTTAAATCCACTTCAAGAATTAAGTGAGCTTGTCGTATAAGCATAAATATTCAAAGAAATGCAGTGCAACCGGTTTTTAAGCACACACTAGTCGGTTCGCAAAATTTAAGAATTTAAAAATTTGTTTCTAAAGTGGTCCCATTGTGGCGGTCAAGGTCGTGCGCAACATTAGTTCACTCTGCATTCGATATTTGCGGGTAGTACCAGAGCGAATCGGCAATATCTACGAGCTGAGGGAATGTCACTGCAATGCACTGCAGATTGAACGGCGCAGATTATCATGAGTGATAGATAAGTAACGAAACTAGTTAAAAGTCCATAAGTGATACTCAAATGCATTTAATTTGTTACCGATAGTCGCCGTAATCTCCATACTCTACTCTCTAAGTGCCTTCGTTGAGGGCTTTCGCCCAAAGATGTGTGAACTCGCAGCTCTGTACTTGGGGGCATTGCGAATGAGCACGTGAGGGTAGCGGGAGGTTTGACTTCTTAATGTTTTACAACGACGCAAATTCTAATTCTGGAATGAAAGTGTACACTTCAAATGTCTGGTGCCAAAARGTAATGCTTGCGACACAATCTCCACATTGAGCGTAACAATTCATATTAGGATTTCTTTAAAACCTAACCTTCCGATGTGACTTAAGGTTTTCCAGTGATATGTGCTTTGAAAATAATAAATTTATTTCAGAAGAAATTCGAATAGTCGCAGTAGTAGTAATAGTCTCAATGCTACGACTAAACGAATAGTATTAATCGGTTAATATTCGAACGAACGGTTACAAACCGAATATTCGAATAATTAATGTCMTGTCCGGCCTATTTTCCTTTATTTTTTAAAGGTAATTCGCATGCCTTTGTGTAGAAACAAAGAAGTTGCCGAAGAATTCACTGATTTAATAAGTGATCTTAATTTACCAAGAAACGGACCAGAACTGTTAAATAMAGTTTTTATCAAAGTTATGACTGTTTTGGRAAATGAAGCTTGGAAACRTTTTGAGTTGGTAAACATTTYCTAAGTATTCATAAAGACAAATTATGAGAAGATTGTGCAAAATATGCTGACAATAATCTTAATCATCTAAAAAATGTCTGGATAATTTGGGAATTATAGTGAGGAATAGTGAGATTGGTTTCAGCTAGATCTAAAAGTGATGAAAGAAAGTCATTGGTATCCAGGTATCCAAGGAAAAGGTCGGTAGGATCGTCACATGCTGGCAGAATGCTGCTGACCCTTAAAAAGAGATTGTCGACTGGAAACTGATAAAATCCGTTCTATTGAAATATTATATACCAYATCCCTTTGACATTTTTTTCCATGCCTACTTCGATGTGTGTTTATTTTTCAAACAAAGTAATTACCATAGATGGTACCAAGATAAACACAAAGAGTGCCTGAAAGCGGCAACTCAATACATTTTTTGAGTTGAATTCAAGACGTTTTTAATAGATATTCAATCAATATATGTAGATAATTTCAGTCTTTTAAAATATATTATGTCATAAATCTCTATGATTTTTTGTGACAATCTGTTGCATTCTACAAATAACTTTGTGTATTCTATTAAAAATAGTTCTTTCATCAGGCTGCGATAATCTTAAAGAGGTCCATAAATTGTTTTCAGCTTAAATAAATCACACGTATTCATTTCATCAACATCATAAACTAAATGGGTTTTGTAATCTAAGTTATTTATGTGACGGATAATCTACATGACTCTCACTATTTTATATTTTCCTCTCTTTCTCTCTCCCAATATCTTCATTTTACTTCTCGGCACCGGTACTCCTTTTCAACAGCAAATATTATGACGGTATCATATGGCGGCTTCTGTGGCTGGGCATCTGCCAGCTTCGTGGAACTGCAGTCCAAGGATAGTCCGCTCGAGACTGGGCCTATGTCGAGTTCGGACGTTGGTTGGGTGGGTTCTATAATTTGCGTCGGAGGTGTCCTAGGTACGATATTTTGGTCATGGTTTGCCGATCGTTATGGGCGTAAAAAGTGCATGCTGTTGGTGGCGTTACCTTCATTGGTAAGTAAATACTTAAATAAGTCCTGGTGGTAGAACCCACGAATACTAAAACCTGATATGAAAAGGCAATTTTTTATATATATTTTCAATTTTCCTAGACCGGTTGGTGGATTATACCCTTTGCTACCACACCGACTCATCTTTGCATTGCACGTGTCTTCGGTGGTTTTGCTGGAGGTGGCATATTTACTGTTCTACCAATCTATACTGCCGAATTGGCGCAAGATCAGTGAGTAAGAGGCTTTCTGTGTTTTATGGCAAATTTAATATTTTTCTAAACAGCGTTCGCGGTATTTTGGGGACAGTTCTTATGTTAACATTTAACTTTGGCATACTCATTGCATTCGTTTTGGGCAACTTCTTTACCTATGATAAGGTGGCTTGGATCCTTTCATCGCTGAGCATTGTGTTTCTGCTATGCTTTCCATTTTTGAAAGAAACTCCTCAACACCTTTTAAATAAAAATAAAATCAAGGCAAGTTACCCAAGGATAAAGAGGTTACCACGCAAAAACCATATATATTGTGCTTTASTTTAAATTTGAGCAAAGCTATATAAAAAATAAAATAGTGCTTCTTTCATAATCTTAATATCAATATGTCAAATTCCAGAAAGCTGAGAAATCATTGAAATACTTTCGTAATATACGAGCATTGTCACACGAGTGGCCTGAAGACTTCAAATTTGAGCTGGATAAACTGAAGGCAGATGTTAAACAGAATGATGAGAATGACGCAAGTAATGCGTTAACCTGGAAGGACATAAGTAAGTGCTGCAGAATTTGTCTCTGAATTTCATAACTTTTAAAAATGTTCTTCCGGTAATTCAAATATAGATAATSTAACAACACGTAAAGCCTTCCTGATTGGTATTGGCATTATGACTTTGATGTCGTTTTCTGGTTGTTTTGCTATGCTCAACTATTCGGCGAACATTTTTAAAGAGTCTGGTTCGAATCTTTCGCCCACATTGTCTGCAATAATTGTAGGCGTACTTCAATGGGTCGGATCCTATATGTCAACGCTTTTGGTGGAACGCGCAGGTAGGAAGGTGAGTAAAAATTTCAAAAAATKTTCAATTGAAAAGTCGATAAAGGATAAAATATTGGATATCTTGCACTGTTATATATACTGAGTTAAGTGCTGCTGATGTTAATGACATTCCTTTACATATATATACAGTCCTTGCTGCTAATTTCAACCACTGGCGTTGCGTTGGGCCACCTTATATTCGGTGTGTACTCTTACCTCGATGTGCTTGGCTACGACGTTAGTGGGTTCTCTTGGTTGTCGGTCTTCAGCTTTTCATTTACAATATTCATAGCGAGCTTAGGCTTGCTGGGGCTGCCGTACTTGATTATAGCGGAAATAATGCCACCGAAACTRCGCAGCATGGGCTCCATGATCGGCATGATTCAGTTGTGGATCACCACTTTAATTATACTAAAGGTTTGTGCTGCGAATAAACCCTATTACATATACATACTCTATCATAACTGTTTATATATGTTTTTCTTAGTGTTTACCGTTAATGATCGAAGTGTTGGGAATGCACGGAATGGTCTTTGTATTCGCCGGTGTATGCATTATTGGCATCATATGCATCTATCTGTTTATACCCGAGACCAAAGGAAAAACCATCGAGCAAATCCTGGAGAGTTTATAGTATTAATCCGACTGGGAAGAGTTACACTAGCGTAGTAGTATATTTTATTTCTTATTAAATGATGTTCCTAAGTTTTTAGTTTAAATTTGAGTAAAGCTATATTTGGGCTTGTTTTGTCAATGRACTAATGTAGATTTTAAGATTATTTGTTTTTGTTATACAATACATATATTTCAATATACGATAATAGACTGGGGTTTGACTAAGCCTTTGATGATATAAACTCATTATTGTTTTGTTATGTTGGAAGAGAAGAAATCATGGGATAGGGACGCGGGAGTCTCCGAGGAAACGCTATCAGTACCTCAACCCCGATTTGAGACTGTGGACGATGTTGTTGTTGTTGAAGCGGCAAAAATCAGCCGAGTTGACAGCTCTTGGCCGGATAAAAATCCAGGTCCGTTTCGGCTACGTCCTGGGAACAGCTGTTGTGGTCGAGGATTTTGTATTATGTGTATGTGTCTTATATCACAAGCTAGCTTGAAAGGATTTCTAATAGCTCCGTGGAGATTTGGGCGGACAACTAATGTTTTTTCCTCACGCTCCAAGAAATGAAATGCAACATTTTTGATATTAATTGTTTAGTTTTTGTTTTAAATATATTCATATAATACAAAGTTTCGCAACATAGCATTCACAATATTTTATAGCGATAATTATTTACATAATTCTATATATATACCTCATATATAATATTTGTTGTATGATGTAGGGGAATTCTTTTGATTGTTTTTGCATTATTATTACTGTTATATTGTATATGTATGTATATTTATTATGCATTACTACTAACTTAATAAGTAATTTATTTACTTATTTATTTATATTTTTGTATTTGTATTTCGTTATTGGCGTGCATTTATAAATGTAATCATAAAACTAGAATACTACATCACAGTAATTTTCAAMACACAAAAAATAAGAGAAAAAACAAACAAACTAAAAAATCCTATTACTTGTGTATGTGCTAACATTTGTAGGTTATGTGGCGGCTAATACAGCGCTTTGCGATAACTGATATTTATAGCAACAATGGAATTCATGCAGCCAATCACTTTCGACACTCACAGTGTCAGGACCACGAATAAAAGCATATACATATTATACTATACATATGTATGCACATATGTAACCAGTTGTTGGAGAACGAAACTTCGATGTTTTGTTTGGGCCTTTGGCTTTTTTGTTTTTGAATACTTCATTTGTGTTTAACCGCCATAAAATTTTCATTAAAATAGTGTTGACATACATACATTACATATATTAAAAACAAGGTTTCTTAAAAATGAAAGTATGTGTAAACTTAAAAAACATAGTTCTGTATTATTTATGTACGCAGATGCACGAACGCACGAAGCTTGTTAGCCGATACTTAACAACCGTGTTTCTGATCACCAAACTAAAACCARCATTTTAAAATAAAATTGTGTTTAACGGRAAAGAAATGAAATCACATCGCCAACGGTTGYGGCCGAAACAGTTTCCACGTGTGCCGAATACACACACAAGTGGACGTGGCGAAGTTCTATTTGGGTTCGTGTTACAAATATGTTTTGTGATTTTTTGTTTGCTTTTATTCGTTAAGCTCACTGGACATTCGAATATCACGTCTTGGGACAGCGGAAGTAGCGCAGCACCGCGTAGCCGAGGCAGCGGAATACCACGAAGAACATCATTAAGACAAGYGTGTTGAGCCAAAGCGGCGAGGTTGAGTTTTGTGCTTTGAGTATCTCCTCGTATGGAATGAATGTCGTCGTTGTGTCACCACTTTTACAGAATTCAAAGCTACTAGGGTTGCCACAACTAAGAGTTATGAAAGGAGAAGCGAAAATATTTTCAATTTGTAGAAATGAGACATTTTAATCGTTCGTTTACCTTATCGCTGGTCCTTCGCGAAACTCTAAAATCTGCATATTCTGATATGCGTAGTGTATCATTGAGGTGTAGCGGATCCAGCTGAGCCCCTCGGGGATGCGTGTCGAYAAATAGCCGCCGAATAGTTGTGTCGCCAGTGTGTAGAGTGCGCTCAATGTGATACTTACATTCATATCCATGCAACAGGCGCCGATGAAGAAGCCCACACTCTGCGCCACAATTGTATTAAGCAGCAAAAAGACCAACATCAAGGAGAAGAGTTTGAAGCTGCAATGTAACGAATTTTCATGATAATATACATATGTATGYATGCATAWTGATACTATGAAAACTAGTGCAGTTTCTTCTGAAATAATCGTATGACCCTCACCTAGTACAGCCGAGCATCGGGTAGGATATCATGAGGTACACAGTCGGCAGCGTCACAACCAAAGGCAGTTCGCCAAACATTTTTGCCAAGTAATAGGCAGAAAGCCTGTAGGCGCCCGAGCGACGCTCTTTGCTGATAACTTCGCGCTCGGCAGGGACTGCAATGAAGCGAATTAATAACATCCCGTTACGGGCGTACACAAATAGTGCGCGCTCAGCCACTTACATGAATTTAAAGCACCGAAAAGCGCAAACAGCATCCAGTACGTCTGCGAGAAGAACATCCAGCCTTGCAAATCATGAAGGAACTCCTCGGTACGGGGTATTTGAAACCAAATGGAACCAGCCATCAGTGCCAAACCTATCGTTTGGAACCAATTTAACTTGGATAACATACGCGGTTTGGCCTCCTTGAAATTTCTACTGGACAGCACACAGAATTGCGTGTGAAAACTCGTCGGATAATCGAGCCAGTCGGTATCGCCGCAGCTCTCGTAGCGCTGACAATCACTCGACGTGGCGCTCGAATTTGATTGGGAATCGTGGCCATACCACAGCTGTTGCGACGCCTCYTCATTGGAGTTCTGGTGGTCATTTATGATCAGCATGGCATCATGATTGATATGATTTGTGTGATTGTTGCGTATGTCTTTGTAGTAGTTGTTGATGATATCGTTTATGAGTGCATCGTGCTTGAGCGGTTTCTCGTGGACGATTTCGGTGGTAGTGGAAGCGCTGTTGGTAGTTGTGTTGGGTGCAATGTGGGACATTGTGTCGGCAGCTGCGCCATTACGTCGTATGTCCAACTGATGCTTGTTGGAGTTGTTGGAGTGGTGCTGCTGATTGCGTTGATTATTCGTGTTCACCGTAATGCAGTTTCTGTTCAAGTAGTTGCCATGCGATTCTTTGGCGGCTATGAAAAGCTTTTCGCGAATTTTAGGGTACGACTTCAGCTGTTCCACTGGCAAAGAACGAAATTATGAAGTTATAATGTTAATATATGAACATACGCATGATACACTTACATACAAAATCCGCGGGATTGTAGTGTGGCTTGATGGCAACTCCGATACTTTCAAAATACGTGTAAACATTATTCACCTCACCAAAGTATGCAGTGCGACCGCTATAGAGCAACAACAGCTTATCGAACATGTGGAACATTTGCGAAGACGGCTGATGTACGGTGATCACCACAGTCTTCTGCTCTTGCACCGCGTAGCGCTTAAGAAARTTCATGAGCGATATGGCAGAATGACTGTCAAGGCCGGATGTTGGCTCCTGCAATAAAGATAGAGCCAAAATTATAATCAAGATTTACATATGTATATACAAATATCTCTAAAAATTAAGAGTGAGTCGAAGAACAAATGGCAGTACTCTTAAATCGCGGACACACACTTCCACCTTTGCTACTCTCAGAGAGTGGCAATGTACATATATTGGCGTGTARCTGCTCTTCATTTGTTATTTGAGTTTGTTTTGGGTTTTCTCCCATTGTCTTTGCGTGTGTTTTGTACTCACATCTAATAACATCACCAACGGGTTAGTTAATAACTCGCATGCGATATTGGCGCGCTTCTTTTCACCACCCGACAGTCCACGATTCAGGTAATCGCCAAATTTCGTGTGTTGACAAAAGGTTAGTTCCAGGGCTTCCAGTATGCGATCCACCAATTGAATTTTCTCCGACTTTGGCATTTTCTCTGGCAACCGTAACAATGCCGTGTACATAACGGTCTCTCTAAGGGTCAGTCCAGAGAAAAATATCTCCTCTTGCAGCACATAGCAGATCTTGCGGCGCCACTTTTTAGAGAGCGGCTCGCGATTGAGGTAGACGCCGCCACTATCGAAGCGCCGCTGCCCGCTGAGGCAGTCGAGCAATGTGGTCTTCCCACTGCCAGATGGGCCCATTACGGCTAAAACCTCACCAGGCCTGCACCGCRCAAAGGAGGCCAGCACAAATGCACAACATCCAAGAAAGCAAAAGCAAAAGCATAAGCCCAATGCAAATTGCAGTAATAACGTCGAATAGATATCGCATATGCGTATGGACAACGAAGAATGATGCGATAGCAGAATGTGGCAATATAAAAATAGAAAGAACGAACAATGCAAATTGAAGATTAGTCTGTGTATATAGATAAAATGTGGCAGTATGTTTGTAGTTCAGTTGTTACCTTACTGAGCCACTCACATCGGAGAGAATCTGGCGTTCGTTGTGGAGTACGTTTATATTTTGGAATGACAACTGTAGCGTGCGGTGGTGCGGTTCCGCATCGGATATGAAAGGAAATGTAGACATTGTTTGATCGCTGCTGCAATTATAAAGAAGAAAACAAAAAACTCATTGAAATACATTGCAAAAATGGATTCCAAAAATATACATATGTATTTTTATCTGCGCATGTAGGCTGTAGTCAAGTAAGTGCAAAGGTTAAGGAAATACATAAATGCATGCTAGTATATATGTACATATGTATATACAAAATATATATGTATTCGAACTGTCGTGTTGCACGGGCAGTGGCAAAGATTTGAATGTTGTAACGCTTGTTATAGTTATTAATGTTATAACGGTATTAATTTCTCATATTGTGACTGTATCCATACATAGTCACAGACAGACACGGCAGACAATGGTTATCACAAATAAGGATGGTACTTAACGCGATTTTTTCCTTTAAGTTCACACTCGAAACTTGTATGCCAAATTGTTGTTGGTTTATTGCCCCATACACTGATATCGGCACGGCCAAAGCCAAATCTCATGACAATACTACTGTGCAACACACACACACACACATTCTCATATACGGTTCAATGCCCTCTTTTAATTACTTTCGTTTCGAGACAATTTCAATTTAAATATTTTTTGATTTTCTAGCTGTCATCCTTGTATTTATCTGCAATTCTTAATCTCTTGCATGGATACACACACACACACATACA